GAGTATCGCGGGTCCACCCCTTGTATGAAACTACTTCTGACACAAGGCCAGATATATTTGTGGCCCAAAAAAGAAATCTTTTGGTGTGTCATTCAATTCCATATTGGAAGTAAGTACCGTATATTATATTTGGGCATAGTAAAATATATATTTTTAATATTGGATGGAATTTTCAACTGAGTATTAATCTAAAACGTTTTTTATCTCTCCATACAGCATTCCATTTTTGGTCCTATATTATTAATTGTTTATTGCCTTACATGTGTTACAGGGGCTTTGTTGCTTGATGTATTTTGTACTTTGTACTATTTGTACTGAAGAAGGCTCTTGTGAGCTGAAATGCATCATAACTGTTCTTTTTTGTGCATTTGTCACTTTGAACATTTTATGAGGCTTTGTTTGGGCCCCTACAAGGTTTTTATATGTCTTTGTAATAAACACTCTTTTGTCTATACTTACTTATGTTTTAAACTTTTGGCACTCAATGAATTTTCTAAACTTCCTTTGGAGATTTTTACCTTTTTATGTCTGAAAAAGCCTGTCCATCAAATCCTGCACAGAGGATTGCGCGCTGAGATCTGTACATATGGATCTCCTGAACAGAAGCTTCACTAGTCACGTTTCTGAGTCACACTTCATTTTCCTCCTAGATTTATTTATGAGAATGGAATCATAAAAATATGCTGATTTTATTGAAGTACAGGATTCAATTAAATCTCAGCATTACAACTATTACCTCGTCCTCTGCATTTCTTTTGAAATTCTTAGCAATATGAAAATATTATGTGAACCACTGAATATGTAATTCATTCACATCAATTAAAATGTAATATAACCAAGGTTCATATTACTTTTACATGTATTTGTTTAGCCTTTATTAATTCATTATATTCAAGTAAATAATCATGTCAAAAATGCAGAGTTCAGAACCAAAAGCCCTGTGGACATAGACTAACATCAAGAGCATTGTTTAATAAGGAAAGAAAAACCCTCAAACATCTGGGGCACAATCCAGAACAAGTTCATTGGGGCTAACTCTCATCAGAATCCCAATTTGTATTTTTAGAACTAAATCCCATTATTTTGCTTTGAGTAGTGCTTTAAGTACTTGCAGGATTGTTCTGGAGCTGAAGCAAATTCCTTCCCTACTGTGCTGCACAGAGTAACAGATACCTAGCCACATCATACTGGTACTCCGAATCTTCTTGGACAAGTTTACCTGCTTAGTACAGCTGACCCTATTTTGAACTGCTTTTAAAACACAGCTGTCTATTTGCTTGAAACTGGAGAGTACTTTTGGAAAGGAATTTCATATTAACATATCAATAGGGACATTTTAAAAGTCTTATTCTCAAGGCAAAGTACAGGGTAAGAGTTATAACAGCAAGCAAAATTCTATCTGAGAGAGAGTCATGGGCACTTTACCGCTGAGCTTCCAGAGTCGGGGGTTTATATACATGAACATTTTTCTCTTGAAGTGCTGGCAGTCCCTTGATTATATCAGCAGCCTTTTCTGCTATCATGATGGTTGGGGCATTTAAATTCCCACTAACAATACTGGGCATTATTGAGGCATCAACAACTCTCAGATTTTCTATTCCTATAACTTTGGTCTGAGGATCCACCACAGCTGTAGAATCAGAATCCTGTCCCATTTTACAAGTGCATGAAGGATGATAGGCACTATCTGCTTTTTGCCTTATAAAAGCATCTATCTCCTCATCGGATTGCACATGGCTTCCTGGTTGAATTTCAGGCCCACGGAATTTTTCAAAGGCTTCCTGAGCAAATATCTCTCTGGCTAATTTGACACACTGACGGAATTCCCAGATGTCTATTTCTATAAAACAAAACAAAAAAGTAGGGATTCAGAATATACTCAATACTTAGCAATGCTTCTGACTGAATCGTACATTTATTTATTTAAAACATTTATATTTTGCCTCTATGAACTAGCAGCCAGTGAAGGCCCTTCAATACCGGCAAGTTCTGAGCTACAGTTTTTCAGCAACATTCTGTATCAGGAGAAATGTATTGACAGTCTTCAAAAACATATATTTAATTCTATTGCTCACTGGACCATTTCAAGCAACAGTGTTCTGTTCCATTTCTACCCATTTGGTGACTGAAAACATCTGCCATATTCTACATAGTTTGAGATACAGAAAGAGATACAAGACCTAGATACCACCTACTACAGATGAGTGTAACAGCAAGTTTTAACAGTAGAGACACCTGCAGGATAAACTCAAGAGGTGAAAGAACACAAGTAACTCTACATTTACCTGTTGACAAATAGTTGGGGTCAAGGATGGGATGCTCCTTTGGGTCTGTACTTTTCAGCTTTAGCCACCCCACACTTTTACTCCTCATGGGGCCGATATGAACCTGCCACAGTCCAACAGAAGATATTAAATGTGTTATCTGGATGCCTTTCCTAACCTTACACAACTTCATGGAGTTGGATTCTCCATATAAATTGTTTAGACACAATACATTTGAACAGAAGAACGAAAAGAAATACTACCACATAAAACATCTTCACGTTTGAATAAATCTGTTGTAATAAAAACATAGTACACAAATGTACACTAAAATAAATTACATGGTCACAAAGAGGTACACGAATAATTATTATTGCTCCTTTAATATTTAAAAGTAAAAATGCAAGCTCAGCAACAGCAGCAGCAGCAGAATTCTGGAAAGGATTGTTTTTAGCCTTTGATCAAAGGGTAAACAGAAACTGTTGGTCTCTGGCAATCCTCCATCCACTGATGATAGTGAAGAAATTCTCAAGGATTTCCAAAAACACCATATGACCTTTTAAATTATTTTGTTATCGGTATGGTGGATTTATCTCTGCATCCCAAAAACCTAAGCACTTCTGCTTAATGATGCCTTTCCTGTACCACTCACCTGGTATGCTTCCAGCTCAGAGGCAGTACGCCCATGGTCAATCACCTGAGAAGGAAGGAAGTGGAACTGAATATCTGGATGAGGAACTCCTGCTTGACTTCTGATAAAGCCGCCAGTTTCTAAGTGAGCGGTGGCACCATCACCTAAAGGGTATGAATATCACAGAGGAAACAAAGAAATCACACAGAAGGGAAGATGGTAGATTTTTTAAAAAAACAAAACTTTCCCCATCGTAATAGCCTGTGTCATATCCTGCAATACACACTGCCTATAATTCCACCCACTGTGGGAATAACTCATTTAAAAACTGATAAATCAACAAAGAATACCCCAAAATTTATTGAACTGTAGTAGCCTATGGCAGAAGAGCATAACTTGTCTGCCATCTGTTTGGGATCTGGGCTGAGCTTTTGTTTCCCTCCCTGTTACAGGTATTTAAGCATTTAGGCAAGAGCCAAGGAGCTCCAGTCTCACAGCCTGAAGCCCTGTATGAGCCAGACCACAGGACCATATAGGGTTACCAAACCCCCCGGGGGGCAGAATTCCCCCCGGTTTCGAGCCCCGATTCCCGCTCCTGCGGAATCGGGGCCCGGGGAAAACCCAACCCCCGCGCGCGCGTCACCCGGAAGTGACGTCGCACGCTGGGGGCGGGGCCACACCATTTGAGGGGAAAACAAAGAGTTTTCCCCTCAAATGGCGTGGCCCCGCCCCAGCGTGTGACGTCACTTCCGGTGACGCTCTGGCGGCACGCGCGCGCACATCCCCGGCCGGCTCCCGGAGCGACAGGACGCTCCCCCGCCGGTAAGGATTTCTGATTTGGCAACCCTAGGACCATACCAGGATGTTTGAATTCTATATTGTGTATGTATATATTGTATGTATGTGTATAAATTATATTTTTGTATTTCTTTGCAAGTTGTGAGTCCCCAGCAGGGAGAATACTGAGACAGAAATAGCTACATAAATATTTCACCATATATGGTAAAATGACATGCTCCGATGAAAGGAACGGAGTGGCAGCAAAACTCCATAGGGCTTCGTTTAAGTGAAGATTTAACTACCAGGCCAAGAAAAACAAACAGTACAGGGTACAAATAAATAATGAGTTTCACCGTTCACAACGTTTTACTCTTTTACATTTGCATTAGAATGCCCATTTGCAATGCTACTGTCAGTGTCCTGCAGTGCTGACCTAATGTCTTGTGGTGTGGCACTTGCACAACCTTTGTGCTCCTGCTGTAAACAGAGTTACACTGGTAAAGCAAGTCTTAGGGCCAGAAAGAGTCACTCCAAACAGGCACTTGTGTCACCTTGGGATCAAAAAGATCAGAAGAAGAAGAGATTGGATTCATACACCGCCCCTCACTCGACTTCTCAAAGTGGCTTACAATCTCCTTCCCTCTCCCCACAACAAACACCTGGTGAGGTAGGTGGGGCTGAGAGAGCTCTGAGAGAGCTGCTCTTGAGAGAACAGCTCTGAGAGAACTTTGACTGACCCAAGGTCACACCAGCAGCTGCATGTAGAGGAGTGGGGAATCAAACCCAGTTCTCCCAGATCAGAGTCCATGCTCTTAACCACTACACCAAACTGGCTCTCAGTGGCAACAGAAGAGATCTGTAAGTTTTGGAAATGGCTGTGACTATCTCTAAAAGATTCTGAAGGGAGACAAGTTGCTGGCAATATTCTTATAAAGATTTTGAAGTATGTTTGTCTAACAGTGCAATCCTTTTCAGAGTTACTCCAGTATAAGTTCATTGAAATCAATATAATGGAGCACTATATACAACTACTACAAAGGGTACTTACACAGAATTGCACTGCATATTTAAGAATGGAAGGAAGAGATGAGGTCTTTGAGAATGGGAAAAATGAATTGTGAATGATGTCCGCTAATGGGGAAAGGAGTGATTTCACCCCTCCCCCTGAGGTTAGAAGGTAAGGATGGTAATGATGGGGGGAAAGCAAAGAAGATACGTGATTTTTGAATGACTGGTTCTCACCAAATGTCTGTGCAAGGCAGGTGACAACTTCTGTCTCTGTACTGCGGATGGAGGCCCAGAGCTGAGAAATACTAGTTTGCCAAAGGTGCCTGCTAAATCCAGGGCTAAGGTAAAATTTGAATCATGGCTTCCTGACACATAGTTCACACACACACACAACCTCTAGACTAGAGCAGCTCTCTAACAACAAGTAATTACAGCTTGCTAATATTTTAGAATTATTTAGCTCCATATAACAGCTATACCGAAACACAAAATTAGAAAATCCCCATATAATAAATTAGATTTTAAGTCATACCAGTAAACTTCCACATCCATTCAAGACCAATCTTTATCATATTAAGAGGCTTCTGTGATTTATAGAGAGTCAGAGGCTGAGTGCACTTCTGTTGTACATACACTTCTAAATGGTCTTGAAGATTTTGGCCAACTCCTAGAAGAAAGCACAAAACCCCAAAATATAAGCAAGCAAGCATGTCCTCAGTGCAAACCAAATTATACTGAGACAAACTCTATCAATTCATACAAACCTGAAAGATGGCAGATGACAGGGATTCCTAATTTTTTGAGGTCATCTGCATTGCCAACTCCAGACAGCATAAGCAGCTGTGGGGAATTTATAGCACCTGCACTTAAAATAACATCCTTATTGACAAAAATCTGAAATACAAATAAATAGAATTGTTATAGGGAAAAAAACAATATTAAAATATCGTTTTTTGAAAACAGCTTTGTCATACTGCTTACTCACTTGTTTGCTCTAAGCCCAAAGTTACTGGAGTCCAGCCTGCTAGTCTGTGATATAAACTGCTTAACATTCATTGTATTATTTCTGTTTGAACAAGCTGTCCTGTTGTCCTGGCTGACAGCTATGCAATTACTTCCTGAAGACCAGGACTAATTGGATTTTCTAAATTTAACATCATATGCTGCTTTCCAAAATTCAGATATGAGCCCCAATCTTCTACTGATTCTAAATGTGGAGTTGCCAACCTCCAGCTGGGGCCTGGAGTTCTCCTGGAATGATAGCTGATTTCCAAACTACAGAGATCCCTGCCCCTGGAGAAAACGGCTGCTTGAAAGGGCAGACTCTATAGCATCAAATCCTTCCTGAGCTCCAAACTCTGCCTTCCACAGGCCTCACCCCCAAATGCCCAGGAATTTCCCAGCCTGGAGTTGGCAGCTCTACCCACATGGTTTGTGATATGATTCCTTTTCCCATAAATTGAGAAACCTTTTTTTAACTTCCATAAAAGGATACATCTCAGCTATGCGAGTGGTCAATCTTACTGGTACTCAGCTAATCCTTGATTTCTAAGAACACTGTACCACTCATCTGAAGGACGCAGTCTCCGTAAAAGCAACAAAGACACACTACACTAGAGATAACGCATTAAGTAAAATGGATACAATAATTTTGAGCAATTTTAAGACTAGATGTAGTGTAGTGGTTCAGAGTGTGTTCTGTCAGCGTGGAGATAATAATGGCTTGTCTGCAGACTGACAAAGCTATTGTTAGGATGACTGGAATGATGTTTGTGATTTGTCTGAACACACAATACGGCCTTTATTATTATGTGTTCTGTGTTTCCTTTCAGCATAAATGAGAACATTGTATTAGTAAAAATGTGTTCTTTGAAATAACTGCATTTATTTCGTTTTTCCTGAATGATTTCCCCCCTGAGCTTTATCTTAAATATTCAGAGTTCTTCACCTACACCAAAGTAAATTGGACTCTGCTTGGCTCTATGCATTATAATGATTTATAAGACTGGGGAAATCCCTATGCTACACTAAAGAAAATGGGGAATGTGGATTTCAGGTCAGAGCAATTCCTGCTAGCGTCAAATGGATATATATTAGAATAATTCAATGGGAAGACCCACAAGTATTTGTGGGCATCTCATTTTCTTCTCCCCCGCTACTTCCTCTTTTCCTTCCCTGAAAGCCCCTCTAGCCTCTCCCGTTTGCCTGCTTCCTTCTCTCATTGACACCCACCAGCCAACCTACCTTTATCTGCCCCCTGTTTTAAGCGTTCCCTCCTTTGCTTCCCCAGCAGCCTTTCCCTGAGAAAACTTTGCGCAGTTCCAGCTGCCAGGCTGGGCCAGGGTAGGGTCGCCTGCAGTAGCTGGCATGTTAGCAAGAAGATCTACTAGTCACCCAAACTCTATTATTTAACCATAAAGTTTGGGATGAATCTTAGAGCACTGTGCCAATGCCATGACATCACTTCATAGGGCTGCCAGCTCTGAAATAGGAAATACCTGGGGATTTGGGGGGCGGAGCCTTAGGGAGGGTGGGGCTCAGGGAGGAGAGGGACCTCAGCAGGCTATAATGCCATAGAATGAACCCTCCAACGCAGCCATTTTCTTCAGGGAAACTCATCTTGGTGGCCTGAAGATCAAATGTAGTATAGGGAGATCTCCAGACATTCCCTGGAGGTTGGCAACCCTAACTTCCAGTTTTGTGCCTGATATGATCGTGTGCATTCATGTGATGCTGAAGCCTCCCCGCCCCCCTTTTCCCCTGCCAACATGTCAATCAGCAGGGAGGTCTCCCTGACACCAGGCCCAGTTGTGTGGAGCCACCCACCAGGACCAGTTGTACAGTAGGGAACCTGCAAGTACTTGCGGGGGGCATTCCCTTTTGCTACACTGCTTATTTTCTTCTGCCTAGCAGTCCCCATATCCTTACATTTCCCTGCTTCCTTCTCTCCTTCCCAGCCACAATCAGCCAACCTTTTCTCTTCCCTTCATATACCATCTAATCAGAGGTGTCGAACTCATTTATTATGAGGTCTGGATCTGACATAAATGTCACTTTGTTGGGCTGGGCCATGTGTGCCATAAAATGTAATGCCAGGTACCAAAGAGATAAACTTTATAAAGGACACAGGCAAAACCAATTAACAATATTATTTTTTACACAAAATACAAACTTGCTTAAGACATTAACACTCTTACAATATTTCCTTACAGTATCTCCCTGATGCCCACCCTCCCACTTCTACTCTCTGGCCCCGTTCATACGAGCCCATTTGGGCCGGGAGCGGGACGGAACTGGGGCGGAGCAAACAGGCGCGATCTCACCTCAACATCTGGTGAGCGTGCCGTCTCCGTCCCTGATCCGGCCCAAATGGCAATACCCCGCTGCAAAGACGAACCACCTATCTAGGTGGTAGCAATCGTCTGGGGCGCCCCAAGCCGGCCGTGGGATCGGCGGCGTGTCCTTGCGCCGCCTCATCCCTTTAGCCGCGCTTTACCTCGTCGTTTCCCTGCCGTGTGGCAGGGGCCTCTGTTATGCATTAGCACTGGGACAGTATACAGCCTCTGTCATCTGGCAATACAGGTAATCAGTTGGGCTCAATAAGAGCCCTGGACAGGCCAGTTGCGGCCCGTGGACCGTCTGTTTGACACCCCTGATACTACTAGCAACCTTGGCCAAATCTGAGGATACTTAAATCTGGTGACTGGAGCTGTAAACGGGCAAGATAGATCTGTCTACAAACCTGAAAAGGGCCCTAGTTCTGCAGAAAAATGTGAATTTGAAAAAAAATACATTAAACCAAAAATGATAAAAGGAGTGCCTGTAGCTCAGGAAGGATGGCTCCAGAGCAAACTAATTTATGCAGCAGCCAAATCGCTCACTCACAACTGTAATGCACGTAGCTCACAAAGCAGAATTTTTGCTCACAAGACTCTACAGCTTAGAGGGAGCATTGTCTGTGACTGGTCCAAAATCACCCAGTGAGCTTCCATAGCAAGATGGAGACTCGAACTAGGGTCTCCCAGACCCTACTCTGAAGCTTTAACTGCTATACCACACTGGCTTTCATGGGGTAGCTGCTGTTGAACAGTTGCAAGCAGCCAGGCCTACAGTCATACAAATCAGGGGGTATCAAGTCACTCAAAGATTGCTTCCAGGTCTAGGATTGCCAACCTCCAGGTAGCACCTGGAGATCTCCCAGAATTATAACTGAACTCCATACAACAGAGATCTGTCCCCCAGAGAAAATGACTGCTTTGGAGAGCAGACTCTACGGCATTAGATTCAGCTGAGGCCTCTCCCCTCCCCAAACCCTGTCCTCCTCAGACTCCACCACAAAATCTCCAGGAATTTTCAAACCTGGAGCTGGTAACCTTAGTCAGACCTGGACCTAATGAGTTCTGCCTCAAAGGCCAAAAACAGGCAACCCTCTTCCCCTGCCTTTTTACTCACAGAAACCCAGACTGGAATACTGTGGCTGTGTAGCAACAGCCACTGAGAAAACCCATTGCTTTAAGCTACAGGTGTTCTTTTTATCATTTTGGGGTTTTTTAAACCCAATGTTTTTTTGGGGGGGGGGGTTAGATTTCACATTTTTCTGCAAACCTGGGGCATTTTTTAGGTTTGTGGAAAGATTCATTCACAGGTCCAGTCGCCAGATGTAAGTATCCTCATATTTGGCCAACTTCAATTTCCATTTACAGATTCAATAAAAACACATAAAGAAACAGCATGTCCATAGAGGAATGCATGAACTTGAACTTACACATCAGATTCATTTGTACTAAAGTGATTACTTCCATTAGCACAATAACTTTAACACTATGCTGATATAACGGCATTTATTTTTTACAGGCTAAAAATGTTTCCCTTTTAAGAGACTCATCTTTAAACAGGAAATAACAATTCTTACCCTTTTCTTTTCCCCATCTTTAACATACTCGATGCCAATGGCTCTTGGACCTTTAAATAAAATTTTTGTTACAAGTGTATTTTCCTCTGTTGACAAGTTTGGACGTGATAATGCAGGACGAAGATAAGCACTGGCTGTGCTCCATCTTTGACCTATAAGATACAAGTTTTCATTTAACATCAGCTGTCAGTAAAATAGTCTGCACTCTTTTGGTGCTCTATTGGTGCTCTATAAATAAAACTAATATTTTAATTGTATTTATGATATAATTTATCAAAGAAACATTACAGCCCAAATCCAGCAAGAGGTGATCCATCCATCCACAGAAACTGCTTTTCACATACAGCTCTTCTATGGCCCCGGTCACACGGGCCAGATAACGCAGGGGTGAGGTGTGGCTGTTTGCCCCGGGGCAAAATAAAGCGCGTTAGCCCAATCACATGGTCTCCCGAGTCTTCGCGCTGTGGCAGGAAGCTCGCAATCACACGGCGATGCTGGAGCTGGCAAAGAAGGCGCGCAGCAAGCGTTCCGTGTTTGTGCACATGCGCTTAGGAAAACCATCTGGTTTGCAACGGGACTTGGACGGGTGCTGGAAGCCATGAGATACTAGCGCTCCCGCAATCAGACGCCCGCCCCTGCCGCACGTTTTCCAGATACTACTGCCCTTTCTGAGGTATTTTTTTACTGCGCATCTTCGGCAGGATGCCACGGGTTGGCTACGGGTGCGCTACACTTCCCAGATGTTGTGGTGTGATTGTGCACCGAAAATCCACCTACCATCCGTGCCTTTAGCGTGGCAAATGCTCCGTGTGAACGGGGCCTATATATAACATGCAAAAAGCTGCTGCCAGGTAAATGACAGAGAGTGTGTGTAAATTGCTCACATCCAGTTCTTGGAAATGTACATACAATGCTTGCCCCAAAACTATAGGACCCCGAAGACAACAGAAAACTCTTTGCCTGTTCCTATACTCATAGAGTACAATCCCAGCACCCATTCTATTCAAACAGCTGCTGGAGCTGATGGGTCTGATCACCTGCTTAGTGCAGAATTCTGAAAGAGCAGCTGCAAATGCAATTCCCTGAATGCACATTGCCTTGCTGCAAGAAAGACAAACCTACCCAACTTAATTAAATGTAAACAGATGAGGGAAAGTGCTGTCAAAAGTTTTCTAACGTTTATTTGGAACGGACAAGAAGCTGGCTATCAGCTAGATTTCTCTCTCGGCCTCAGAATTTCCAGGAAAGAAAACCGTAACATTGAAGCACATGCTGGTTAAAGATGTTTTCGAAATGATGCCTCTTAATTAGTAACTCGAGTTGTCAGTCCAAGTTAGAGGGGGTTGTAATTAATATAGTGGCCTAGAAAACTCACCCCGTTTTTCTTTAGAGCATTTGCACTGTTTTCCGCTGCCCTATCACAGGGAGGAAGACTGGACTTTGGGGGTGTATAAATTCTCTCACGTCAGTACTCACTGGCTTCAGGCTCCCTTCAACCACTCAAATGTCTAACTGGGATACCTGTTCCAGCACTGCATATTATTTGCACGTTCACTGTGATCCCTGAACATCTGATCCAATGGTCTACATTTCCAGAAGGACAAAACAGGGGAGAGAAAGTGTGAACCTTTATGTGATTTACGCTAGAGTGAACCTTTATGTGATTTGGGGGTCCTCTGATGTTGTGGCAGATGGAAACTGTATTCTACTCCTTCCTACA